AGTTTTATATATATATATATATATATATATATATATATATATATATATGGTAATAGGGATAGGATGTTTATTATATAGTTAAAGTTATAGGATATTTTTTATGCATATGGTATGTACATTTTCTATATATTTTTTGCTGTTATTATTATTGCTAATTAAAAGCCTAAAGAATGTTTTATTTTGATTAAAAAAAAAAATAGTATTTAAAAAAATAGATTAGAACTCATATTATATACACTACCGTATAAGTTTGGGGTTAGTAAGATTGTATTTATTTATTTATTTATTTATTAAATTTTTTGAAAGAAATTAATACTTTTATTCAGCAGGTGTGCATGAATTGATCAGTGAATACTTTAACTTTTTTTTATTATTTATTTTAGATTGTTTCAAAAATGTTTTATAAACTTTCTGTTCTTCAAAAAATTGCTGAAAAAAGGTATAATGTTTGTATAAAAATATTAAGTGGGACAAAATATCATGAAAAAAAGTGTAACGGTTTCTACAAAAATATTAAGTGGGAAAACAGTTTTCAAAATTGGTAATGATATGGAAATATATTAAAATAGAAAACGGCTACTTTAAATTGTAATGATATTTCACAAAATTATATTTAAAACTATTAAAAACCCTACAGACCCCAAACTTTTAAACTGTAGTGTATGTACCGTTATATATTTCTGTCTTATATATTTCTGTCTTGTGTATGCATCAGACAGAATTTTATTTATTTATTTTAATTTTAGTTGGCTCAACGGAACATTTTGACAGCGTAGGTAAAAATATGAAACAGGCCCAAACCGAATCAGCAAAGACAATCTTTATTGATTTCTTCGCTCTTTCAGCTATCTGTGCTCAAGGACACCTGGCATGTGAGTTAGGGCAAGTGCTGAAACAAGTCAGTGTTATTGCTTAAATGTTGGGTCAGAGAAGTACGATGTTTGCTGTTAAATCTACATTAAAATAACAAAGCTCCAGGTCTTATATATGGAGAATATTAACTTCAGTCCACAAGCCAGTCAAATCAAACATACAGAACACATTTCCATCCTTGGCGTCAGTAAGAACGAATGTTATGACATTCTTCCATCTTGCCTCAAAGTTCCATCCTCCAGCTTTTGGATTAAAAGAAACGACAAAGACTTGGAGATTTCTTCCACTCCCCGTCTTTCATATGGGAGAGCCTTTGAAAAGATTTCACCGAAACAAACTCGTAACATAACTTGCAAACAATGCTTTTTTTTTATGAGCTCTTCTAATCGTTAAAGGCATAAAAACGAGCGAAATGCATGTGCCATGACAAACATAAACACCAGCCTTATTGCTCCCAGCGGACTCCATGTGCGGAACAGGCTGTGCGATCCGGTCGGTTTTACTTTAGTTTAGCGAGCCGACTCTGATCACATCTGAAGGCTTGATCTCTCAAGGACAGATGTTGAGATGCGATCTGGTTCGGCCGCAGATCGGCAGGCTGATTGAGAGAGACACGTAGGCATGGACTGAATCTCTGAACTGTGGATGCCGTACTTAACCCCGAGCAGCGCTGATATGCAAACACAAGCCCCTAACCCATGAGGTGCCAGATCTACTGGAAACAGTTCAAAGTGCTCCACCAGTATCCAGCGGTGCAAAACACATGACTGAATTTGTCGGCTAAAGTTAAGAGAAAGCGTCTACTTCGAACGAACTTTGGAGAGTCTTTCAAGGAGACTTTGAACACTGCAGGAAGGGCTAATTTGATTTTGACAGTGTAGAAATTGAGCAAACCCTCATAGTATGTCAGCCATATGTTGTCTGCTCACCAGAGATCGAAATAATTGTGTTCAAACAGTAGGAAGGCCTATACGATGGGAATCAATTTATAGCATGCACTTTTATTTCTTTCAAACGTTCTCATCTATGATGGATTATCGTGTTTTACAACAACAGCATTGTTAACAAGTGTGGTCTCTTTCAAGGCTTAAGTCAGTTTTTGGCACCCATAAATAACCCTCTTTCTGTTTCCACTGAAATCCTCTCCATATTTCTCATTAGAACAGGATTCAGAGCCGTCGTCACAGGCTAAGTAAAAAGCTTGCTCTTACGTTCCCTGAGGTGAGACCATGCAAACTGTGGTAGATCTGTTCTGTCATAGAAATAGAGTGAAATCGTGCTAATAGCTCGTTCGGCTTCTATAGTTGTAGTATGATATCTAGTATGCCTTTCTAACCGTAATCTTAGAGGCATTGTACTGTAGTGTATATATTATCAAAAAAATCATTACTGGGCTTACTGTAGTTTCAGAACCCCAAATCTAAGAGTTTGTGATAGTTATGCTACATATAGCCACTTCGTACACAACACATATGTTTTCAGCAAGAGGAATAATATATATATATATACAAATCACAATTCAGACTTTTTTTTCTTCTTGTAATTCCAAGGTTACTTCTCACAATTCTTTTTTTTCCTGCCCCAGAACAAAAAAAATAATTAAATATAATTGGAACTTTTTATCTCTCAATTCTGACTTATTTCTTGCAAATTTTACTGTATAACTCACAACTCAGAAATGCAAGAAAAGAAGTCTGAATTGTGAGACATAAACAGAATTCTGACTCTTTTTCTGGCATATCCAATGTTACATCTTGCTATTCTGACTTTTTTTTTCTATCATGTTTTTATTATGACTATTCTGTTTTGTTTTGACTTTTTATCTCTCAGTTCTGACTTTTTTCTTGCAATTTTGACTTTACATCTCACAACTCAGAATTGTGAGGGAAAAAAAGTCTGAATTGTGAGATAAAAGCAGTCTTTTTAATTGTATTTATTTATTTATTTATTCAACAAGCTTCCCCAAACATGATACCTTTTTTTGTGATACCTTTTGTAGGATTCTTTGATGACTAAAAAGTTCAAAATAACTTTTTATTCATTTATTTGAAATGTTATGTTTTGTAGCCATGAAAAAGTCTTTACTGTCACTTTCGGCGATTTGATGCATCCTTGCTGAATAAATTAGTATTCATTTCTTTTCTTTCTTTTTTTTTTAATCTTGCTGATCCCAAACTTTTAAATGGTAGTGTGTGTCAGTCCAACCCTGCTAGTTAAGCTAGTTTAGCAGCCTAGTAGGGACGCCAGCACACCAACAAAGCATGTCGGGAACCAGCATCCAAAACCCAGCATGTGCTTATGATCAGTCATGCTGGTGTTTTCAGCAGGAATATGACTTCAGTAAGTGTGTGTAATGGTTATCAGGAATGCTAGCATGCCATGTGATGTTTGTTTGCGTCTACAGAGCGAGAGTTCATCGAGATATTTCCTGTCTGGCGGATCAGAAAGATAATGGTTTTTATTTGTTCCAACCATTACCAGATATACTGGAGAGTTCAGCCTACTGTAGCACGTTCAGCACTCGCATCCAATGCGTATCTCAAGCAGTTGGTATTCATGTCATGTGCTTGTAATCTTGAAGGATTCAGTAATGATTCCTTCATACAGCAGATCTGTGTTCTCACTTGACCTCCATTTGTAATGCGAACAACAAAAAAGATAATTTACTGTCCAAGTGAAAACACACAAGTGAAAAATGAGAAGGAGAAAAGGGAAAGGAAAAATGTTTGCTGAAACGGTACATTGCCTGTCCCACAGTGGCGTTATGGGGGAATTGACTGCCTGCTTTTTTTGGCTCCTGATTGGCAAAATGTCTTTTTTTCTTTCGACTTGGAATAAAAAAGGATTTCCTTTCTAATATTAATTTGTATTAATGTAATACTTGTTTTGTATAACATAGATCCAATTCAAGAGATAATATGATAGGATATCTGTTTTTTGCAATCATCATACATCTGTTTTGTGTCATTTGTTACATGTATTGTAAAACTGGTATTGGCGGTGTGTTTCAGGGTGAGGGAGTGATTTGGGGCGGGACACTCAAACTTGTATAAATCTTTCTTTCCTGTTTATAAAAATTGCTGCTGCTTGGTCAACATATTCTGCATGAAAGATGTTTGGACTGGCTAAAGATGGTAACTCGGTAGATTCTTTGACAGCGTTTTAGAATCATATTTTGTTTTTGTAGAATAAAGTGGCCCCAGGAAGTATGCGCATACTTAAAAAATGCATGAATATCATTGCATTACATAAGATATCAAACCAAGTGTCATTTATAAAAAAAATAATAATCAAAATAATAATAAAAAAATAGAAAGGCAAATAATTTCACAAAAAGAAGTTTGAGAGGCTTTAAATAAAACAATAAATATACTGTTTAAAAAATTGTGTGACACTTAGTGGATCACTTTAGGGGAACTGACCTCTACTAAAACAACCTTCCAAAACAGTAATCCAAAAAGTGAAATAGGTTCTGAGAAATGTATTTACTTATTTATTTAAATGTAACTTTTTAAAAGTATTGACCTTTCTAAAACAACAACCAAATAAGTGAAATACGTTCTAAGAATTTTTTTAATTTTTTAATTTTTGATTTATTTATTTATGTTACTTTTCTCGAAGACTGATGTAATGATATTAATGCAGTTTTTAAGTATGGCGTAAATATCCAAATACTTTTAGGGGACATTCATTATTAAGACATTAATTATTTCAGTTTTGTGTTATTATCTCAGCAAGAAAAGAGCAAGTTGGTATTTTTAGCAACGTGCCACTATATGCTCTGTGCTTCAGATTATAGTTGTGCGCATGAGATTGTTTTTAATGAGGCCTTTTTCTGCCTTCAGTTCTGTGTTCTGTAATTAGTGTGATAATGGGGTTAGTCACCGTGACTCTCAGCCGGGTGCTATTATTATCACAATCAGCATAAACAGTGACGCCCACATCATGCAGCTGTGACATGACATGTTTATGCCTGACGTTGGGCATTCCGGAGCTATTCAAGCACAGAATATCTTCGCACATGGTAGAAAATAAATAGTTTACATATTTCCACAGCCTATATAAGAAGTGCCAGACATAGTTTTCATCAGTCTCTCACACGCTCTGCTAGATTGACACATGAAGCCGGCACATGTCAGTCATATCTGGGCGATGTGGGGGTCCCCCGGGGGCCAGTAGCAGAGCAGAGGGTGACCCCGACACATTGAAATCCTTCCTCAGTGTTGTCTGTCTCTCATTACGCTCCTGCTTTCATATTCATTGCTTTTCCTTTGATTTTTTTTCTTATTTATATGTCCCTCTTAGTTGGTTCGTTCATTCTTTTGTTCACTTTTTCTTTCTTTCTGTCTGTCTGTCCTTCTTTCTTTCTTTCATCTGTTTGTCTGTCATCTGTTGCCTGTCTTTCTTTCTTTCTTCTGTCCATCTTTCTTTCCTTCTTTTTGTAATGGGATTGTTTTGTCTCATGTTATTCATTGTCTCTGTTTTTGATTCTGTCTTCCTCATCCTCTCCTCTGACCTCATTCATGCTTCATCTGCATTTTGCATGTAAGAGTCAGATTGCCTCATTTCACCTTATAACGTTTCTCACATCATAGATTTGATGTAGATGCCAGTGTTGTAAATGTCTACACGAGCAATGTGACTTGCGATACATACAGATGAACAAAATCATTCTTTTCCAAGAGCAAACATTCTTTCTGGGACATAACATATTTATTACCTCATAGAATGGAGCGAGGCAAAGTTTTTTAAGCAAGCTGTATTTTAATACTTACATGGTTCTTGCTCAAAAACATGAATCATAATTTGACAGCCAAATGTAATGAAATAGTTTCACAATCATACGAATGTTTTTAAACTAAATGTTATATTTTATAATATATTTAAATTTAGTCTGCATGGTTAAATCTGAATGTCGAGTTATTTTATGTTAAAACGTAACATAGTTAAATACAGAAATATTCACTTTTCAGAGTATTCTGTTCACAGAAACACAATCTCCTACTCAAATTCTCTGCATTTCTATATTATTCTAAAAATGTGAGTGTTTATGAAAAGGAGACACAAAGGAGATTAAATGTAAATAAAATACTGTTTTTTTTTTCTCCATGAAAGGACTGAGTTGAATTTTTTTTTTTTTTCCTTCTCTGTGTAGAGGAACATATTAATCAGATTTATGCCTGCATAAATGAACTTTTTAAACACTGTATATTTCTCTAGCTCAACAGAAACTTTCACTGTGATGTATTGTAGACCTGGAGTACATTAACACTCAACCCAAAGCTAAAAGTAAACTATAGAGAGAGAAATATTAACATCATTTGGTTCCTCTTTAGAACCCCAAATTCCAGGAGCCTGTTACACTGGATTTTCTGGATGCAGAGCAGGAAAATGATATTAAAGTCCAGGTATGGCACAATGCATACATACAAAAACAAAACAGCATGATCTCACCAGTATTATTTTATTGCTATATTGATGAAACACCTGAGAGGTTTTGATTTCATGTGCAAACACTTGCAATATGGTGTTTTGATACTTACAGATGCTTACATTTAGGTTACATGTGCTGAAAACACACTTTTACTCAAGGGATGCATAGTTAGCTTAGATAGTAGTGATTTACAATAGCAGTTGACAATGCCTGACCACACAAGTCACTGAGGTTTTTTTTTTTTTTGCACAAAATGAAATGCGTTTGCAGATAAAAACTTACATTAGGAGCAGCGTTGGTGTAATGCATTACTAAGTAATTAATTACTGTAATTGAATTTCCCTTGAAAAAGAAAAGTAAGGGATTACACTTTTCTGTAATTTAATTTGTTACTTCTGATGTAATTGCATTAAATACTGTGTAGACTGTAGGAAAAATTCTATATAAAACAATAGTGGATTTAAGATCAAAATTTAATCTAATGTTAAAATGTATGTTTTAATGTAACTTTCTCCCCTTTAAATACTTTGGTCAGTTCAAGAATAATTTATGCAATTTTATATCATTTATTTGAAATAATTAAAAGAGCCGTTTCATGTTGTATTGGTTAACTGGTCAAGGTTGATATGGAATTTAGAAAGTAATTAGTAATAAGTAATGCAATTACTTTTTATAGAGAGTAATTAGTACAGTAATCCAATTACACTGTTGAAGATAAGTAGTAGCTAGTAATTAATTACTTTTTTAGAGTAACTTACTCAACACTGTAGTACGAGTGTAAAAGTCAAAGTACCATGGTGTCGCTGTCATTACTATAGTTAACACTGATTGTTCTGATCTCTCTCGCTCTCTCAGATCCGGACTCTGATGATTGATAGAGACCCTGGGGAGAAAACGATAGAAACGCTTGTTAAATCTCAAGATGAGGTGTGTAGATCTTCTATAGTTATTCTTCTGCACCATATTTTGTCCATGTTTGCTTCACTTATACATTTTATTCACAATATCAGAGATACATTGATCGAGGAATCAGGATGTACAACTGGGCACCGGTTAACGGGACAGACTACAGGTTTGTTGGCTTTACCTATCCAAAGTGTTTCATAACTCTCCTAATCATTTGTGTGTACTGTATAAAACACGTTGTCTTTTTCCTCTGTGTGTGGGTGTTCTGCAGCCTGGCCTTGGTTTTGCCTGAATACAGTCTGCATTACATCGAGGCAAACCTGGGGGACACTATAAATCAAGCCATGTGTGAGTACCGTCTGCTCGCCCAGAACACTCAAACCAGCTCCCCACGTTAAGCAAACACACTATCATTTACTAAAGATCAGATAGAGCCTTCGGCATGCAAAGCTATTGTTTTATGAAATAGCTGAGATTGCTTGCAAATATTTTTAATCGGCTCGCAAGAGAGGTCTGCCTGTTTGTGTGTGTGTGTGTGCGTGTGTGACCTCGATTGTCAGGGCTGCTCTCTGTATTAAACTGAGGTCCAGCTGGCCTCCACCCATCCTGAGCAGTGTAGCCAGGCGTTTGATCTGACTCTCCCCAGCACTCAGGGGCCCCGGCTGGGAAGAGCGACTGCGAATGCTCCCTCCCCTCTGGACATGTGCTGCTGAGGTCCAGATCTGCACACATACACAGACGCTCAGCTCATTTGCAGGAATATTCCAGGTTGAGCTCTATCGATGGCATGTGGCTTGCTTGTCAGATTAGCAAACTGAGTCGAAAATGATTTAGAATCGTATCTTATTGCCCCATAGACTTCTATTTCCGTGGTAACTGACAGATGCTGTCGATAGAGCTTAACTTGTACTTAAGCCAGAACATTCCTTAAAGGAATAGTTCACCCAGAAATGAAAATTGCCATTATTTACTCATTCCAAAACCTGTATACTGTTATTTTTCTGGACGTTTTATGTTGCTCCTTTTCATATAACGAATGTTTATAGTACCTAAAACATCACTATATGATTATATGTAGTCTAAATGGCTCCTGTAGTATACAGAAGTCTTTTGAAGCTTTATGAACAGACCAAAGTCATTATAGGCATTCAAATCAGTGAGGTGAATTCGAGAACCAGATCAGGCTGATTTTTAAACCGGTTCCTGAAAAGAACTGGATCAAAAGCACAATTCTTTCCGGAATCAGAAAATGTGTTTCATCAAAAATGTCAGAATGGTAAGTAACTAATGACTATATTTCTCTCTCTTTTTTTTTTGTGTGTGGTTGAACTGTTCCTTAAACCAGCAAAGATACTGTACATTACCAGACAAACCTACACACATGTACATTTATTCCAAATAAATGCACGTGTGCAAAAGACTAAGTTTTTCTCTTATCTATCTTTCTATGATCCATCCTTTCTATCCTTTCATCTTTAAATGGCACAGCACAATGGGGCAAGTACTATCTCAATGTCTTTTACAGTTCCTCACAGTCTATTCTCCTGATTTTAGCCATTTTTATTGACATTATTTACACTTGTATTTATTTACATATGAAGAGTTCAGGACGTTTTATGAAAAAATTTTAAGTTTTATGACGTTTTATTGCAAAAGCCTCTTAAGTGCCATCTAACATTTTCTTCTAAAATGGTTATTTTCTCAGGCTCCTATGTTTATGTTAAGTTATTTTACTTTAATGGGAAAGAAAATAAACTATTAATTGCCATTAAAGTGAAATTACTGAACCTACACATAGGAGCCTGATAAAAATGCTCATTTTAGAAGAAAATTTCAAATGGCACTTTTGCATCTGAACTCTTCATATATTTATGCATGATTTTAAGTTACATTTTCTATGCTTAACTGTTGGTTTAATTGAGTAGCCTATTTTTTTTTTATGTATGGTCTGTGTAACACCAGTCGATTATTAAACAGTGTTTGGTGCTTGTCTAAACATGCATGCACATATATGTAAAAAAAAAAAAAACCTGAACTTTGAAAACATGGACTTTTAATGTTTAAATAACAGATTTTTATTGCCCATGCAAATGCAAACCACCACATATCGCTAGGGTATTCTTGGTGACTTCCTGGGTGCTGCTATGTGTTCTGAGCAGTGTTATTTTTACTATTAATAGTACCTATTCGTATTTTGAATTAACTTATATTTTCAGATTATTATTTTTTTTTTAGTAATTTTATGTAGTTTTGTAATTTGTATTAGTTTTTTATACTTCTATTTAACTTTCATTTATTTTTATTTAAATTTTAGTTTTAGTAATTTTACTACTTCAACATTTTCAAATTTGGTTTAAGGATTTTAATTTAGTAAAAAAAAAAATGTAATTTAATTAAATTTAATTATTTATTTATTCAGCTGTATTCCAATTACCAAAAAAAAAAAAAGATTTTTTTTTCTAGTTGACTATAACTAGTTGACAATAACTGAGTGGTTCTTAGCATGCTGATATGTGGTTGGTTGGATGCCACCAAAAAATATCTATTATATTCTGGTCCCTAAATATGGCTTAGGTCACTCTTTCAATGATGTTTATGAGATAATCATAAGCCTAACTGCTTTGAAAAGTAATAGCACACCTCTCCACAAGACATTTGTTGTGTTATTCAGACCTGTAGCGTGAAGGATTGTGAGATGAATTAGGAGTTTTATTCTTGCAACACTGCACATGGGCTATATATGCAGACGGATCTTTTGTTATTTTAGCATAACAGTGCTTTGTAAGATCACATAGCTTTAACTTGAGTCATTACAAGTAAGAAAGCCAACAAAGGAAATTTTAGCTTGTGAAACAATGAGTAAAGCAGGTTTTGAAGACTGGAAGGGGCCACAGAAGGTCATATTGTGGCTTGTAAGCAGTAACAATCAGCTACTTGAGCAAACTCTCGCCGCACAAGCGGTCATGGGAATTTGATGTTTTGTATGCCAGTTATAATTGTGCGTCTAATTTATTATGTGCAAGCATGTTTGTGTGTGTGTTAATGTGCTAAAACTGATGTTTCTGTATCCTGGCGTGTGCTACTGCAGATATGTGTGAGATGTGGTATCTGTTTCTCGCTCTTCCTCCTCTTATTCCCTCTCTCTCCATTTAAAGGATCCTGGCATAGGTTTACAGGCTCGTAAAGAGGCAGGTCCATATGGTTATTGAGAAAGGGGAAAGAGGCAGCGGCGCAGGGGTCAGGTTTTGCGGTGGTCTTCAGAGTGCTCCTGGATACCTTAGGTGCCCGACTCTGAACTCTGGGAGCTCCACAGGGCTTGTATGACCAAAGCCGAAAGCCGGATGTACACTTCAGAAAGGCAGAACCAGAAAAGTGTGGCTTTTGGGAGCCGTGTAGCGCAAATAATGAGAAGAACAGGTGAATGTGGAGTTTTCTCGAGGGATGTGTCCTTACGGCTGGTTGTAACTGAAAACTGTGATGATGGACTCGGGTGCTTGGACCTGACATACCCTGGACTTGACTGGATCTTACAAGTTGTGGATGTTTCTGCATGATTAGCCTCACATGTGTGTGACACCAAGTACTCAACACGGCAAAAAACGATTTTCTTAGTGCACGTTCACACCAAGGACAATAACTATAACGATAACAAAAGATATAGTTTTAAAAATTATTTTAAATGTAGAAGAATAGCAGAGTTAACACCAAAACTATAAACAGTGAGGAATGATATCGTTGGAATCACTTTCACAAGGTTTTATTTTTCCATCTGATGAATGATAAAAACATTGACAGCCAATCAGAATGCATCCTGCTTTAAAGAGTGTGAGCATTTAAAGTGACAAACTACATAGCAGCGTGTGCTTATAATAAACAGAACATTATCATCTGTTGGTGTCAGTGGTGGAGCCAGAGGGGGTGTCCAGGGTGTCCAGGGATTGGCCACCCTGGGTGCCACCCCAAAATTTAATATGCTACTACTTAATTTTCTTTGTTTAGTCATACTGAAAGTAGCAGTTATTTTAGCCTCAAACTCAATATTGGACGCATCTGGTGTGCCGCATCGTGCTTCATCTCATCCGGTGTACCTTCCAGCCTCAGCTAACTCTAACGTATGCACTTTCACGCCACACGTTCGTTTTTTTATGGAGTGAAAAACATTGCAGAGCAAAGAGGACACAGACAACGTGCTGACAGACAAGACAGAGCAGGTTACTTTTGATAATAGGAAACACAGTCTCAGCATTCAAATTCTGTTCGTTTTATTAAGAATTTCAAATGATAAATACAGTTTTGGAGCTCTTTAGTGGCGTGACGGTTCACGTGCGCTCCCGCTTTGCCTCAGTTCATGCAAAGCAGGAGTGCATTCTAATTAGCGTGAAATAAACATGAATGAACATTCGAGGGCATGTTGTAATCATTCAATGAGTGTTTCAACCGCGGAAAGACAGCAGCTTGAAAACATTGTCACATAACCTCAGAAAATCCATTCAGTGTCCATAAACTAGTGAGAAAAATGTACACTAGAGAGGATAATTTTGCAAAAATTACATTTATTATAGTTTTACTCTATATAATAATAATAATAATTATTATTATTATTATTTACTATATATTTACTCATTTTATTATTATACTAGATATAACGTTAAACTGGTGTAATATGAAATAGATATTTTGCTCCAACCGCTGGTAAACTGGTGGTTCCAATAGACTAACATTTGAAGTTACTGTAGGAATGCCTAATATGAAGTAATCAGCAATCGTAGGATTTATTCATGCTTTCTTATGCCAGGTTGGAGTTATACACTGATTTTCTGTCATGGACTCTAATATAGTTATCGTTCTTGGTGTGAACGTCCCTTTACTCAAGATTTTTGTCGTGTTTACCATAAATCTTGATACATTTACTTAAAGCAACATGACATAAAATATTGTCTTGTTTTCTGAAAAAAAAAAATTATCAAAATTCTGTGAGTTTAAAACAAGAAAAAAAAACAAGATTATTTTTCTGACAGATTTTTTTTCTGTCTTTTATCAGCTGGTGATGGCTGTGTCATGGTTTTACTGATCAGAAGCTCTGCTAATGGCAATAACAAGAGCAGAGCTAATGAGGGACTGTGTATAGACACAGACGACGAAGCATCCCTTACACTTGATTGTATTTGCAATCCCTCATGCTGCTAGTAAGATCCATTGTATGATGACCAGTGTTATTTTTGTGTTATTTATATTGTTAATATTTAGAAAAATGTTAAATATATTTTCAGTTTTCATTTTAATTTAAGTTTTAGTCATTTTATGTCATTCCCCTTGTCATTTGGATTATTTTTTGTAAAATATTTCTATTTAGCTTTAATTTATTTTCATTTTAGTTTTTATATTTTAGTAATTGCAACTTAAAATTTAAACTTAAACATGTATTTATATGTTTATTTATTTATATTTTATTCAATTCCAGCTTTATTTCAATTAATGGAAATTATTTTTAATATTTTTTTTTTTTTTAGTTAACAATAACAACACTGATTCTGTGCTACAGCTTCCAGGTTTAGGACTTCTATATTTAATTGAACCATGGTCCCTATTTAAAACACATTTTAAAATAGATTTTTGCATTTTTCAAGAAGTGATGAATGATGCTTGTCCATGCAAATCTTGCAACCATGATGCATTTTTATGCAGTTTCTAAGATCTGAGTGGTTTTAAATGCATATCTATGAAGTTGCAAGGGTGTTGTAGGTGATTGTTAAGGAATTGCTACATGGTTTATAGAGTATTCTGAGTGGTTGCTTAGTAGCCCAAGTCAAGATAGCCTACCATCAAGGATCTATGATATTCTGGTCTCTAGATGGCTGTGGTCCCTCTTTCTGCCAGTGAAATTGTTTTGCCCTTTTTGTCATCTGCCAAGTGATTAGTGATTTGAAGGTAGATAGTGATTTTATCGCAATCCCAGTCAATTTTAATTGTTCTAACATAAAAAAAATTAGGGTTAATTCTTTGATTGGCTTGGTGAAAGTGCAGTCCGGAAGTTTCCAGGCAAAGCAACTTCTCCTGAATGCTGAGATGGTCTGGTTCTGTTTTGGTTTGTGAGATGATCTGCTGGCTCTCATCAATGGCTGATTGCGTGTGCACCTTTGATGTACAAAGAGAGTTTGATGTGACTTCACCAAACACTGGCTGACCTTTTTTTTTTTTGCTGATCGTGAATACCACATGCCAATTTGTTCAACCGTCATGTCATTTGATGTTTTCATCAAGCGTCAGAATTATTTTACCATGCCTGCCAAACTCTCCGCTCGCCCCTCTCGTAACTCTCAGTGTTGAATGGAAAGGACTGTCTGCATCCATTTCTTCACGTCTGTAATCTCAAACTCACGTCTTTGTTGTGTGTCCAGGATTTCGCTTAATCTGAAACCGCCATCGTCCCTCATGAGCATGTTTTATATGAAATGCTTTTTTCAGAGTATCCGGTTTACAATGTTGGATGTCTTTTGGGACTGTGATGGACTGTGGTAACTTTGTCTTTCTCTTTGTCTTCTGATTGGTTGGATTTTCACCACAGGGAACAAGGGCAAGTACTGCACCCTTCTCTTCTCTGACCTTCGTGTTTTATTTCATTCATCAGTTGTTGTTGTATCATTTATTTTCAGTGTCATTTGCATGCATCTGTTTTTATACTTTTTTTCCAGAGCAGTCATGTCACATCTGTGTTCGTGTGTTAAAATAATTTGTCACTTCTCACGAGTGCATTTCATATCACATAATTTTTTTAAAAATCTATAAACACTGCGTTCATTCTTCATGCTGTTAATTACTGCTTTTGTTTGTTTAACATGCCAGCTTCTCCTGTAAAGCGTGTTGGGTCAAATCAACTGATAGGGGTTTTGCAATGGACAATGCCAATAACTAGAGATTAGCATAGTGGCTACAATTCTGATATATGTGATTATCTCTGTTGAAAAAAAAAAATATTCAAACCAGCTTAAAGTGGTTTGATGGTCTCCTGTGCTGGTCTGTTGACTGGTTTTAGGTCTTTTTTTCAGCCTTGGATGCCAGCTAGATAAGATGAAGGCCAGCTTGGCAAAGGCTGCAAGACCATTTTAAACCAGTTTAGGCTGGTTTTATGCAGGTTTTTTTTTTTATAGCATTTTCTCCTCTAAAACATGTTTGGTTAAAATTACCAATATGGGTTTTTCAATGGCCAAAGCTGATACAGATAACTAAAAATTGACAAGGTGGCTACAGTGCTGATATATGTGATATCCCTGTTGAAAAAACAAAAATTTAAATCAGCCTAAAATGGTTTTATGGTCTTTGTCGGTCTTCCATGCTGACCATTGACTGGTTTTTAGAGGGTTTGGGGCTGTGGATACCCAGCTAGACCAACTGAATACCATTTTGGCAAAGCTGGAAGACCATCTTAAACTAAGCTGGTTTTATGCATGTTTTAACAGCAGGAAAAGACTAGTACAATTTAATTAAAGCAGTTGAGATGTACACACACAATGAAATGAAATTAACATTTTGTTATGCCATATTTACTCGTATTTCACTTGGTCACAGTTATCAATCTATACCAGTCTAATCTCAGAATTTATAATAATCTCATGTTTATTTCTAAACATGCTCTGTATAAAGACGTCTTTAAATCTCTCTCTCTCTCTCTCTCTCTCTCTCTCTCTCTCTCTGTAGCCTTTGAAACCATGCAGCAGGAGACATTTGAGGAATATGGGTACACCTTTATTGCACCCAGGTAACCCACACACACACACATTGAGCGGAAAAGGCAGACCTCCCACCGGGTTTAGTCATGACAGGTTTATATGGACTGTATCTAGACTCCATTGGTCTTTCAAGGCCTATAAATTCACACCTTCAGACCCACATTTCACTCTCTTTAACAATGGGTTCCATGACACGGCAGCAGCAAAAATGTTTGGTGAAAACGTCATACTGCTTGAATTTTTTGTGATTAAGCACCAATAACCTTTTTTTCAGAGAATACTGCAAGGACCTCAAAGTCTCATCCAACAACACCCAATTTCTGGTGGACTTCAATGAGTACATTGACAGGAAAACTCCAAATGGTCCTCTGTGTGAGTGCAAACCTGAACACATTTATCCATCTGAGAGCGTGAGCTAGAGTATGGCCTACAATGCAATAACCTCAACTTGACCTTCCTTTTCTTGTGTGATGATTATAAGCTGTGCTTGCTTGCTTATTTATTTATTTATTTAGTGTCTCCTTCTTGATTTTTATTTGGTCATGTTTCCAAAAGCAAAAAGATATATATATTTATATATATATATATATATATATTTTTTTTTTTAAATATTGAATTAAAAGTGCAAATATATGCAACTTTTACATATTATATATATATATATATGTATAATATACAGTGTGTAGCATAGAATGCAGTAAGACAGTATTTAATATGAATGTTCAATTCAAATGAACAGAAACACCCTCAGTGAACTCTTTGTTTTTTTGTTTTTTTGTAGTTAAATGTTCAAATGTTTTCTGAGTCATTTTTGCAGTGATATTAAACCAGCTGTAAGAAAACCAACTGGACATCAAAGTTTCAAATACTTTTCAGCCCCTTGTATAACACTATCTTTTGCAAACACAAACCACTGTGGTTATTTTTGAATACATGATGTAGTGATATCAGAGGTGAGAGGGCTCAGATTACTCTTTAAGTGGCTGAGTCAGGCTGATTCCCGCTCAAATGATGTCAGTGTGTGTGGCGGTCCTGCCGTCTGTGAAGGTGACCCCTGCCAGCACTCGGTTTAATCACACTGTAATTGATTAGTCTGCTCTGTAATGACTCCAGCGCTGTCATCCTAATGTTCTTACCCATCATGACTCACTCTTTTCTGTAAAGAGATGCTATCGCTACAGCGCTCACACACGAACACACCCACAGATCTTTGCTTAATAGGCATTATTTTTCTCCTGAGATGTATAGAAGGTTTGTGTCACCAAATTGTTGCTTTTAAATTTAAAGGGCCATATCTTTATTTATTTATTTTAATTATTTCCTTTGTCCATGCAATGCTTTTTTCAGGTTTTCCAATATGTAGGAAAATTCTGGCTCATCTGTAAATTTAGGTGTGATAATTATTGTTATATAAGATAAGATATATATTATTAATGTTAATGTGTAATTATGATTATCAATAGACCACAATTTATTTCAATTTCAGTTTTCATTTTTCTAGTTTCATTTGTTTCATTTCAACAATTGTGTAAATGAAGATTTCTGCAGTTTTGCAGTTGGTTTCCAAATTTCTGTGTCAACAGGGAGTGGAGTTCGAACATGGGAAAATCCTGTTTTCCATGACATAATCCAAAACTATTGACTATAAAGACTTTCCTTTCTCTTTGTCTGTATTGCTCAGGTAATCTCACTCTTGTAAACCGGTTGCTGCTGGATGCCGGTCTCACGGCAGACCTCGTCAAAGTCTGGAAGGAACAGAATGTGTAAGATTAGAGCAAAACACACACATGGAACAACATAAAACATTCATCTATGTCTGTGTGAAATGTCTTGAGTTTTCAAGTACAAAGATCTCTGCAGGCCAGAGAGACGCCTTCATATAACTGCTGAACACAAAGCTCCATTTAAAGTCCTGACATGAATAAGACTGCTGTCTTATTGTCAAAAGCAAACTGTTAGAGTCTAGCAATTACAACCAGGATTAAAGAACCCGACCATGTGGGAGTCCAAAAACAATACACAATGCATATGACACATTTCAAAACTGTTTCCAATTAAACAAATGGTGTTTCAATAAAAATTTTTACACTGAAGAATGACCCAAATATTCCTTCTGGTCTATGTTTTATTTATTTATTTTTTTTATTTGGAGGATGAATGTGTTAATGGTTACTCTGAACGTTCTTGAAGTAATTGAATTTAAAGTTCAAGGCTAGAATACCTTAACAAAACACTCACATGTGTAAAGCTAGTCAAAGTTGCTTGGTTTCTGTTTGTGGTCTTTGGGAAAATTCTAAACTACATGCTAAACATACTGATGTCTTTTTTTATTTCATTAGAGATGGAGTTTTGGCCAGGTTTGTGGCTACAGATGGAGGCATTACACGTGTGTATCCTAAAAGGTAAGTTCCATTCACAGTTGTGTGAAATATGTGCACTTCTCCATCCCCATGTGTGTGTGTATGTGTGTGTGTGTGTGTGAGAGATGCTAAATTCTTTACGATCTTTCCTCTGTCGGCAAGCCCCGCAGGGGTCTGTGGTTGAGACCAAAAGAAAGAGTGAGAGAGGATGTTTCTGGTACAGAGTGACTCTTTTGAGATTTCTTATGGGAGCCATGTGCAGCTCTTGCTGTCTTTCTCCTGTCTTTATTAGCTTAAATCTATAACAGTGAGTGCTTGATTTCATAAACTTACTCTGCTGTTGTAAAACAGCAGGATGGTGTTTAAGAAGCTACAGTGGTGAACTTATTCACAGTTCATATTTACTCACCTCGGTTCGAAAAACAAAACACTTTTTTGGAGCTTCTCGGCACCAACTACTGTTTGCTTGCATTTTCTGGCATAGATCAGCATGTACATACTGCCAATCATCATCGCCATACTGAATAAAATGATACCAAATTTTCCTATGTCAGGCATTTTGAGCATGGACCATTTCGAATTTTGTAGTAAAGTGCTGTATTTTACAAACGCTTTAGCGTATTGTTATGAATCTTATAGAACCGTTTGCAGGAAAGTTATGAATTTTTTTACACGGATAGAGAACAGTCTCATCATCAACCACAGCAAATTTGAAGTCTCTAACTCAAGCTCTCTAGCGCCACCAACAGGCCAAATTTGCACTCATGTTTCTGCTAGAACCATAAGGTCTAAAAGCAAAATTATTTGTTCCCTCTGATTCCTTGACTCGTACCGAGTCAAACACATACCAAAATGTAAATTTCTATGGGTCAAGATTTTTCGCTATTTTGAATTTTCAGAAAAATCTACTTTTTACATGCGTTAATGAATTTGACAAAGTTTGTGCAAAAATGGACTTGAGGCTATATCTCTGCAACGCTTTAGTGGATTCTGACCAAACTTTGTATGTGTTATAATAAGCCTGACCTGAGGGCAAATGAGTAGTTTCGGCACAGCACCACCTACTAGTCAAAAGATATTTAAAAAAAATAAATTTCTGCTTATAATTTCTGAACAGTTTGACCAAAAATCATAAGATTTTGTTAAGGTCTTGTTAGATTCGGAATGGCATAGCGAATCAAACGATACCTAATTTTCCTATGTCGGCCTTTTTGGGTGTCAGCCATTTTGAGTTTTGTAGTAAAATGCTGTTTCAACAAATGTCTTTAACGGGGGTCTCCAACCCTGCTCCTGGAGAGCTACCATACTGCAGAGTTCAGCTTCAACCCAAATCAAACACACCTGAACCAGCTAATCAAGGTGTTCAGGGCTACTTAATTACAGACAGGGGTGTTGAAGCAGGGTTGAAACTTAAGTCAGCAGGAAGGTAGCTCTCCAGAAGCAGGGTTGGAGAACTATGGTCTTTACTGAGTAATTAAAGACAGCTCCTTAGCTCTTCGTTTTACTTCTGTTGTGCTTGGACCCTTAATTGCTGCTTGCAGCTCTATTTATTATTATTATTATTTTTTTTTTGGTTTTATTTTTTTTAAATTTTTTTTTTTTCATAGATCTTATATGTGAGCCTTAGCAACTTAATTTACACAGTTATATTTAAATAAAAAAATGTTTATGGTATATGTACATGAAAAGTGAACAAACACATTCAAGTAAACATTTTTTTTTAAATATTTAAACATTTGTGTATTCATTCTTAAATTATTTAATTACACTGTCTATAAAGATAAAAACTGGGTGCCTTTTTCTAATGAAAACCATACGTTTGCCGTTTGATTCCTTGTAGGATTTTTGTTTCATGCATTCTTGAGTTTGATCATTCAATTATTTATATTGCTATTTTCAGGGCCGCATTAAGACCTTACTGGGCCCCGGGGCTATGACTTACTGCAGGACCCCCTATTACAAATATAATATATATATAGCTTTAAATAGGATTTTTATCCTATCAAAATTTTGATGCATTGACATTTTATAATTTTTGTTACCAATTTCAATATTTAAAAAAAATAAAAAAAATACTAGCCTAAGTAAAAACTAGATTATACTTAAGACAAGTAAACAGACACAAATGACAAAAAAAAAATAGACCTACTTCAAACACTTAAAGCACTGAATAAGAAATTATATTGTATAAAATAATTGTACAAATAAACTGAATAGTCTTCACTGTATACATTCAATATACATTCATTCTTATTTATTTTACAAAAGTGATTCGGTCAAGGACAGTGAGTGATTTTCTTTCTAATGTTTGATTAACATTATTGACAACAGTGAGTGATTTTTTTTCTAATGTTTGATTAACGTTATTGACATAAATTTTAACAGCAGCTAAATTAGGCTGCTTTAGAGGAATAGCTCACCCAAAAATTAAAGGTCTCTTGTTGTTCTCAACCTGTATGCGTTTCCTTCTGCTGTTGAATGTAAAAGTATATGAAGAGTTCATTTGCAAAAACAGATAACTCCATTTTTAACAATTTTCAAAAATGATGCTTTTTCATTGTGCATTCCAGTTAATCTCAGTCAAACTGCAGTTGGGTTATTTTGATTAAGTTAAAAAATAACAAAAAAAATATAGCTAACTAACACAATAAAAGACAATAAAAACATGATAACATAATAAAAAAACATGATTTTTGAAAATTTTAATAAACAGAGTTATTTGTTTTTGCAAATAAACTCTTCATATATTTGGAACAATACTGGTAACCCAACAGTTGCTGGGCCCCCATGACTTCCATAGTATGAAAAACAAAATACACTACTGGAGTCAATGGGGACCAGAAAATTTCTAGTTACGAACATTCTTCAAAATATCTT